AACATTTGAACCAAAAATAGACTGAGTGGTAAAAGTAAGTAAATAACTTATTGGTATTAAAAAAACTTGATAATCCAAGTTTGTATGATAAATTTTTGTTTTTTTTTGTTTTTTTTTTCGATTATTAAAAAAAAAAAAGTATATTTTTTTTTAATGTTTTATTTAAATAAATAAAAATATTACAAAAATTTTTAAGTGAATAATAAATAAAGTTAATATGGTCTGTTATTCCTATATCAAAATTTTCAAAATCTATATCAAAATCATCAATAAAATTTTCATTATATATGGGTGCTCTTTCATAATGTTTAAATTTATTGGTAGAGCTAATAAATGTATCAATGATAGATTCATTTATCATATTAATGAATCTGAAGAGCTTCTTATTATTATGATTGATAACTATTATTGTCTAGTTATTCAAGTTATTATGATACATTCTTGTACAAATAAGAAGCAACAAAAAGATTTTAGGAGTCATTTTTTTAATGTTTTTTTTTTTTAATAAAAAGAAAAAAAATAATAAGATTTTTATGTTCTTGGTCTTTTTATATTAGCTCCTTTAGGTTTATATACTGGCATATATTTTGCTTTTTCATCTTTAGGAGGAAATGTTTGGATGTACAAACCTTCAGAATAACTTTTACACATAGTACCTTTCTTTGTTAATACTCTTTCATATATTCCTTTTTTAAAATTTTATGTATATAATTGAGATAATGAAAAATAATTTATATCTACTGATATTTGATTTTTTGACACTGGTATTTGATTTTTAGCTTTATCTTTAGATTTAGTTTTAGATTTAGTTTTAGTTTTAGCTTTGACACAAGCATCAGCAATCACATTTAAAAAAAGTAATAGAATGATAAGAATTTTAAGAAATTTCATTTTTTAAAGAAAAATAATAAATGATTTGTTTATTTATATAAATTTAATTCAAATACAATAAATAAAATTATAGTTCAATATCTTCATCATCTGTAACATTCTCTTTCTCTTCATCCTTCTCTTCTTCTTCTGTAGGTTTTTTCAGTTCACAGCATTTTTGCATTAGATCAAAAAGACTACTCATCAGATTACCAGAGTTGAAATCAGGTTTCCATACAGATTCTAATTTCAAATAATTAATCATCAATGGCATACCATAATCGCCAGTTTCAGAATTGAAAGTTTCTCCAAATTTTATTGCAACATCATTATCACTTTTCATTTTAAATTGATACATCCAATTAAAATAATTAATTACAAATACAAAAACATAGTTTCCTATATTAAATGTTTTAGTTACTGATAAATTATTATTATCAAGTTGACAAACTTTTATTTTTTCTAAATCTAAGCAAAAAACAAAATCATATGTTTCATATTGGCATCCTTCATATTTAATATCATATTCAAATTCTATTACAGAATTAAAATATTCTCTAAATTGTATATTACACAAATCTCTGTTCAGAAATATGTCACTCATAGGAGAGTTATTCTGTTTTACAATTTCTTTATCACAAATTTCAAGAAAATAAAATTTTAGTTTTAATTTATTTGATATAACAGGTGTAAGTACTTCTGTTTGTGTTGAGTTTGTTTGTATATTTATAACATCAATTTTATCTAATCGATGGTATAAAATTAGACTTAAATATATGACTATGTCATGCAATTCGATATTTTGATGATTTTTATTTATCTGTTGAAACATTCAAATATATGTGTATCTTTCATCTATTAGTTTGTAGTATAATCTACCATTATCATCTGGTACAGATGCTTCAAATTCATTAACATTTGCATCAGAATCTTGATTTTTTAAACATGGTAGTGAGTTTAAATTTTTATTATTACAATAATTGATTATACAAGCAAAAGAGATTTTTTTTTGTTTCATTTTTATTGACAAAAAAACAATAAGACATGTGTATTTATATATTTATAGAATTTATTTATTTAGGGGTGTGGCGACCTAGTGAAGTGGTCAGGTTGTCAACCCCCAAGTGGCAGGTCCAGAGTTCAAATCCCAGTGTCA